AGAAGACAGTTTGTATCCATTGTTAAGTGCTCAATAACCCCAGTTTGTAATTGGCGAGTAGTTTCGTCAATAGGCTGCACTATATGCAGGACATGTACATTGATATACAATCATAGAGCGTTGAGTTTTAAGAATTGGATCTTTGGGTACTAAAAAGTTTACTAATCTTGAAGGAATCAAAAATTATTATAATATTCAAAATTTTACAGTATTTCTTTGTGATATCGTTGATACGTTGTTTTGGTGTTTGTGGAGAATTGTCCAACATATGGAAAATTGAAATTGTTTATTATTATTGTCATTATGTTTTGTCATGCTGTTGTTGCTGTAATTGCTGATTGATTTTTCAATTAGTGCATTAGGATAACAATTCTTTTGTAAGATGCATTTAAGTTCAATGAAATCTTCATGAAAACCTGTCCAGGTTGAGTTGATCTTATATATCCTATGAATGAGTTTATTTATGAGCATCTTCTTGAAAGTGAAATTGCAAAAACTAGTGAAAGTGAGAATTAATCCAGTGAATGCTTTTTTTCTGTACATTAAAAATGTACAAATTTACAAATTTGCTGGACACTGATGGTGTTCATAATACAAATGCTAAGGAATTACGGTTCATAATATCTACTCCATTGCTTTTATTAGGTTTAGTAATAACAGTGTCCTTGTTCTGACGTCAAGAAAGCCGTTAACACTGTTTAATTACCTACGTCAAGGAGGTTATGTTCTCACCCCTGTTTATTTGTATGTTTGTATGTTGGTTTGTCTGTTTGTTTGTCTGTTTTACTGTAAACATCCTACAGGCCACACTTTTTATCAACAACTTCTCAAACCTGGTCATAGTGATTCATGATGAAAGATTTCGAGGTGATTAAATTTTGAAGGGTTATGGTCAAAGGGTCAGAATCGACGAAAAACTACTTTTTACATATGACCTACAGCCAACAATTTTTATGCAGAAATAATGTTCCATGGCCAACAATCTAAAGATGATTACATTTCGAATGGTTAGGGTCAAAGGTCAAGGTCACAATCGACGAAAAGCTACTTTTTACGTATAACATACAACCAACAATTTTTATCAGAAAAAATGTTCCTTGGCCAACAGTCTAAAGATAATTAAATTTTGAAGGGTCTGGGTCAAAGGTCATGGTCACAATTGACGAAAAACTACTTTTTACATATAACATACAACCAACAATTTTTATCAGAAATAATGTTCCTTGGCCAACTATCTAACAAACAAAATTATAGTGTAACAGTAATGAGTATTCAGATACGTAAAATGCTGACTTTCGAAACTCCTGTAGTCTTTTTCAGCACTTGTATGTTTATGTTAATAAGTAACTTACACCTTTACGCAATATGTCATATTTTACTTGATTATAGGTAGCAACAGCAAATATCAAAGGATATGGAAATTATTCATCTAGTTTACTTGTCGAAACAGAAGAAAAAAGTAAGAACTTTTGCTACAAACTTCATCTACAAAAAATGATTAATTTTTTAATTACTCAGTATTTCTCTTCGTCTACTATAAGTTAGATAGGACGAAAGATATTTCTATTATTATTTTTTAGTGACTTATTTTTACAACGATACTAAGTGCAAGATCATGACTGACGACTCGCGATATCACCTTCAACAAAACACCTATATTGATAAAATCAAGAGTTTTATATTCCTTAGTAGTAACGTACATAAGAAGATGTCAAGCATCGAACCAGACTGGCAGCCTGGCCTTTTGGTAGACTAAAGACCATCTGGTTCAATCATGACATCACAAGACCACTGAAAATACGAATATTCTAGTCCGTAATTTTTCCCATCTCACTACTTACGGATCAGAATGGCGGAAGTTTGAAGTCTTCGAGATGAGATGTCGACCCATTTACCTTATTAGATACAGTAATGAGCAATGAAAAAAATCAGAAAGAGCTTCAATATCACTAATCCATATCACTGAAGTAATGGCCCAAGGACGAATAAAATGGAAGCCGAAAGGTAGCACGGAACAGACTGGAATGGAGGAGGATCACTTGTACAAAAGCATAGGACACGGCGTCCTATCGTATGCACATAAAACAAAAAAGTCAAATTTGCTAAATTAATTATTTTAATTAAATTGATGATGTTTTTGAACACATTAATTTTTGCAACAAATATATAGGCCTACAAGAAGTTCTCCCATTCCTAGAGTGAATGCAGCCTTAGGTCAATTTTAATTTCAGGAACCTAATTAAAGATTTTATCAATATGTTAAATTTTAATTGATAATTAGACATATACTATTGCAATTTGGTTTTAAACTAAACAATACTTTACTTTAAAATTGCAACTAACTATTCGTATTACACATTTACGTAATTGCATAATTATCCAAATTACTCCATTATATAATTATTTAATTACATTGCGGTAACCGATAAAATGTTATTAGTTTACTGCATTATCACCCTAAGTCATTCATTTTAATTCATTATAATTTTTATTCATACACTTTTAAAACTACTCTTCTTACAGGATGTAAATGTAGCGTGTACATAGTTGTTTTGATTTTATCGTTTGTTCTATCAACGTTTCTACTCATTTGCACAGCTTATTTGATAATTCTCAACAGGTGAGAAAGACAAACCACACTATTACTACCACCACCACCACCACCACCACCACCACCAGCACTACTATGGCCGCTGCTGCTGCTTCTGCTACGGGTGGTTATGGTGCTGATGCTGGTAGTTGTAGTTGTGGTAGTCTAATGCCTTTTCCGTAGAGCAGTGTAGTGGCGGATTCAGTAGAGGGAGGGGCAGCCGGCCCTCCCCCTATAATTAAAAAAAAAAAAATTCTACTCAAATTTTGCGTCTAAGGGAGGTGCCATAATCATAAATATTCTTACCTCAGCCCCAACCATGATGGGGCTGAGGTACTATAGACCCTCCATCTGTGAAAGTCTCTCTTTATGGTCCCCCTCTATTCCAAGTTCCTGGATCTGCCACTGTAGTGGTAGTATACTGCTGCTACTGCTATTACTGCTTCATCATCATCATCATTATTATTATTATCATCATCACAATCATCATCATCATCACCACATCACCATCATGTCATCATCATCATCGGTAGTAGTGGTGTGTTGGTGGTGGTAGCGATGTGGCATTGGTTGTACTACTAGTAGTAGTAGTAGTAGGAGTGGTAGTAGTAGTAGTAGTGGTAGTGGTAGTAGTAGTGGTAGTAGTAGTAATAGTAGTAGTAAGTAGTAAATATATATGTACATATAAAAAGGTACTTGTACTTGTAATATTATATATTATCAATAATAATAATAGTAATAATAATTATAACTAGACGGCATTCGGAGAGTGCATACCGTATAAATTTCCAGAGCATTGTCCCCATGAAAAAAGAATAATAGAAAAAAGAAACAAGTAGATTTCTTGAGATTTGAATCCGGGGCTGGTAATGTTGAAAACACTCTTCTAACCACTAAACCAAACTGTTCTCACATATATCACTTTGAAATGGTCATCTTTGTTTACACTTTACCGGAAAGCCCATATAAGCATACACGCAAGTCTATACGGCAAGCAGTTATACAAGTTTTTCGATCGTTGTGTCCTTGACCTTTGACCCTGACCATTCAAAATTTAATCAGCTCTAGATCTTAAAGGAACATTGTGGCCAAGTTTGACGAATTTCTGATAAAAACTATGGGCTGTTGGCTGTTCACAACAAATATGCCCGACAGACAAATAAATATCTAAATACTAAATAAACAGCATAACATCCTGCCAACTTCGTTGGCGGAGGTAATAATAAATATGATAATATTACATTATTTTCATCATCATTGTTTTTGATGTTCAGAAAACTTAAGAAGACAAATCCTCCGATAACAAAAGAGAGCAACGTAAATAATACACCTAATTACTACGTCAATGAGGACTTTGTAAGGAGTCAGGCAGAAGAAGCGACTTACGAGACACCACAACAAACTGAACAAGACTCATACGAAGAACTAACTTACAGACAAGCTGCTTGTGATTCCTCTACTGAAAAGGCATTGGACGGCACGTATGAGAATTTACCGCCACCATGAGGGTCACTTTACAAATTACACTGATGTGTAATGATGTGTGATATGTATTTTTATAAAGAAATTCTTGCGTGTATTTTGTATATCCCGTAATTACTATAAAATTATTTGAATTTTATTTTAACATTAGTTATACCAAATTGTAGTAAAGTTATTCTAAATGTTTAAGAAGACGCTTAGATTATTATGCCTAATGTAATTGACGTTAATCGTGTTTCAAATTCAAATGACATTTATTCAATAATAGTGTAAAATACAAAAAAAAATGTTTAAAAAGAGTGTAAAAGGTCCGGTATATAAAATAAAAATTAAAAAAAATATACCATCATTGGAATCATGCTTAGAAGTGAAAATTGTCTCATCATGACCCCATAAAAAAAAAAAAAAAACCAAACAAACAAATAGGTTTTAAAGAAGATTGCCCACTCTCGGGAAACTGCCTCACCTCCACAATTATTTATAAAGCTACAATCACAACAAACGAAGAATCGAAGCATTACATCGGGCTCACAGATACCGCATTTAAAACCCGATATACAAATCATAAGCACACATTCAATGCACCAAAACACAGAAATAGCACAGAACTTTCAAAGTTCATAATGGAAACTAAAAGACAGCAAAACACAATACAACATCAAATGGTCCACTATTGATAGAGCCTCATCCTACTCACCCAAAACAAAGCGATGCAATCTATGCAACGCAGAAAAATTTCATATAATTTATGCAGACAAACAATCTACTTTGAACAAAAGGCACGAACTCCTTTCAAAATGCAGACACCGTGCCAAATCCCTACTCAAAAACACATAATACCTAATTTGCATCTACACC